GTTTTTCGTGTTTGCAAATTCTTGCTGGCAAAATTTTTTCCAGCAAAAACTTGCAACTTCTCTCCAATTCTCCACTTTGCTCTCATAATTTTTGAGTGTTGGATAATTTTTTGGTCTGCACGAACGCGATTTGGGCAAAAATCGTGATAATTCGTACAAATTCGTACAAATTTTTTGCTCGANTTTTTTGCTCGACGAACAAACCTATTGCCTTCATCTACTCAAAATAAGCGGAAACGCAGGTAAAAATTTTGATTTTAGCCCATTTTTGTAAGAACTCCCAATGGACCTATAAGGCGCCTCGGCAGTTGGGAGTTAAATTTTTGAAAACGGCAGTTCATGCCCTCTCTAAAATGGGGTGTGGGAGGTGCCACGCTCCCTCCCTCACCACGCACACAACGATCTGCCGTAAAGTAAAGTTTCCCTTAAATTGATTTTGAAAAAGGGCAGAAAAGGCTATTTCTTATTAAAGATGAAGAATTCCATACATTCTCTTAAGGCTAATAGTGCAACTCCAAAACAAGCTTTTCAGGCGTTCCGCGCTTTTCAGGCTTTCAGCAATAGCTGACTTGTATAGTTGAAAGCCTGAAAGGCGAAAAAAAGATTATTGTGGAGTTGTACTCTAATAACGGCTGTACTACTTTAAACTTAGCAAAAAAAAAAAATCAGCTCAATACAAAAAAAAGCGCGAAAATTTTGGGAATTGAAATATAAAAGTTTAAACTATGGAAAATTCAATTAAACTCGCGTTTTTTTAAGACTAGCTGGTAAAAAGCTAACAGTTTTGCTGGTTGTTGTCTCATTTACAAAAATTCAAACCTGAATGAGAAAACTTTAGTTTCGGAAATCACCAATTTGATATAAAAAATCTTAAAAAATTGTTTGGGCTGAACATATAGCATTATAATATATTATTAATTCATAATTTGATCATAAATTTATTTTAAATATGTTCGATCAAATATAATAAATCAATAATTTTGCTTAACAAATATATTGTGTTACTCAACTAAAAATTACAGTTGATTTGACAGATTTCAACTGGAAAAGTTTGAATGTAATATAGAACTCGAGATCAGTGAGCCTTAAAACGTAGTACGTTTACTTCTTGAGAAATTCTCCTTACTTTTAAAGAAATTGACAGCTCATTCGACAGCTGTCAAATCTCAAAGTTTTAATTTCACGCAAAATTCGTGACTAGCGTGTCTAAAAACCTTATCAGTAGCATTTAAAAAAACATATTCTTATTATCAGAAAAATTAACAGTCAATTTGACAGCTGACAACTCTCAAAGCTTTAATTTGATGTAAAATTCGTGATGAGCATGTTTAAAAACCTTATCAGTAACGTTTTCAAAAAGATTCTCTGATTTTTTAAGGAAATTGGCAGTCCGTTTGACAGCTGTCGACTGTCAAAATTTTATTTTGACATAAAATTCGTACCTAAAATCCTAATAAGTGGTATTTTCAAAGAGGTTTTCTTATTTTTAGAGAAATTAGCAGTTGATTTGACAGCTGTCAACTGTCAAACTAAAAATTTTATGGCACATTCAGATTTAGCATAACAAAAATACTACGATGATGCATTTTTATTATAATCGTAACAGCCCTTCTAATTTTTTGCGTGAAACATAGCTTCTCCGAACACTGTGTCCCATACAATTTTTAAATTGGGACTTGGCAACTTTTCACTCTAAGCTAGCGATTTGTACTTAGGTAGTCCGATATTTTAAGAAACGAATTATTTTTAATTGGTCCTGCTTCCTGCAACAAAATATAATTTTTCAGAAAAAGTGGACTTAGCAACTTTTTACGCTTAGCTAGCGATATGCAGTTTTAGAAAGTAGACTAAACAAGTTTTGTAAAAATACCACAATTCGTTTGCTTTTTAACTGGCAAGAATCTAATTACTATCGGACTGGTTCGTTTTAGGTGATAAAGAACTAGTCCTGAACCTGAAATTTGTTTCACTTGTTAGGATTTTCCATGCAGGGTATACTTACTGTAGTTACTTACACTATTTTAATTCCATAAATACATACAGATGCGCCTGTTAACATACATACCATTTACCACACTCACATACATATGTTTGTATTTATTTTAATAGTTGTACACTGTGGTTCATTTCATTGAATTAAAATTTATTTTAAACAATTTTTTTTTCTGTTATTTTTGCTAATCTACAGTAAATAGTACATAGTAAGATACTCCTAGGTGCATGCGGGTGGTGTAAATAGTAACAAATAGTTTACAGTTGCACTTTCTAAATTTAAAACAAATGCAAGACATTCAATATTCAACATTCAACATTCGATAAGTTAAGCTTCTCAAGCTACATACTTACTCCTCACATATTCACATACATATTTATGTATATGTATGTACGTGTACTTACTTATGCATAGAGGTATAAGCACATACCTATGTATTTATATATACGAATCTACATTGGGTCAATCCATATCAAATCGACCAATGGTTGGAGTTGACCACTTTTGGTCTAAATTTCACAATTTCTAAAACTTTGTAAGCTTATTTTTTTAAATATATTTTAAAAACTATTGTAGCTACAAAAGTGAATGAAAAATATGTTTAAATAATGCGAAACATAAAACGAATTAAAGAATTTTTAAATTTAATAAATCATAAACGCCAAATCTTATAAACATTTTTTTTTTTTTTACCTCTCTAACTGATCTTAAAGAGCATGAAATTTCCAAAAAAGCGTACAATTTTTTTTCCTTTGGCAGATCTTCGTTATATGGCAAAAGAAAAGGTCTGACCAAAATTTATCCAAATCAAAAATTGCCTCTTCCAACCATTAGTCGATTTTACGTGGATTGACCCATTTGCATGTAAAAAATATAATTTTTTTTGCGCTATGATTCCGCATCCGCACCCCTCGTTTTGCAATTTTTTCTTCAACATTAACGCTGGACATATACACACACACACAACACAAATGTACAATATAAATTTACAAATATGTGTACGTACGCATGATTACACATTATCATTTTTAAGTCTTAGCACAGAAATAAACTTACACATTTGTAATTAAATTATTTACTCTCACTCTCACAACAATTTACTTATTATATACAACAATAGACCCTAACTAACTAATTTAATTGTAATTTGAACAGTCTTTGTTTCGTTTTACTATGTATTACGCTAATAAATACCTACAACATTTTCGTTGTTATTACTATTTTATTTTTACTTAAAGTAAATATGTACTTATTTCTACTATGTAACAATTTTTTATATATATATTTATGTAAGTATTATGAAAACCTCATACATACATAATATATGTATGTATGTACGTACATATATACATACGTACATATGTACATGTAATAGAAGCGAGTGTAACGCTCTTACAAAAGTTATATATGTATGTAAGTATTTATTTAAATACACGGGCAGGTGAACATATTTACATACATGTATATGAAAACCTGTATGTACGACTATAAAATCGAATTATTCCTTAATCATTTAAGTAAGTTTTTTATGCTCTCGCATTCACAAAGATATATAGTAGTTGCAACATTACATGTACATGTACATACAGTTTAAATATCAAGAGAAATATTTTTAATTACATACATACATGTGCGTACATACAATACAATACATAAGTCCTTATATGCTTACGTACATACTTAAGCATTTGCAATTTAGGGCCAGTTTCTCATGTCTGGTTAACTAAGTGCAGGTTAGACATCGTTATCGACATGATTGGCTCCATGTTTAACATGTAGTTAGTGTTAACCAGACATTGAGAAACTGGCCCTTACTCTCTTTTAGGGACGTTTGCCCCATGTCTGGTCAATTCTAACTCCCAGTTAAACATCGTTATCGACGTTATCGACACCCAGCATACATATAACATGTGATCGACAAAGCAGTCGATGTGCTCAACTGAAGAATTTACCTCCAGGTAGTGTTAACTAGACGTGGTGAAAACGGCCCTTAAGTAGGGTGTAAATTTTAAAATAAATACACATACATACATATGTACATGTATTTTGCTTTAACATACATACATATACAGATAGATAGACTATAGATTATTTTCAATTTGCATAAATGCAGTTGCATATGTACATATATGCATATGGGCTAATCCATGTCAAATCGACCAATGGTTGGAATCGGTCATTTTTGATAATTTCAGCATTTCCGAGAGTTTGCAAGTTTATTTTTTGACTATATATCTCAACAACTATTATGGTTATAAAAACGTGAAACCATTTTTATCAGTTTATTTTTTATTTTTTTTTAACTAAGATTCTGCAAAAAATATTTTTGTTAAAGCTCGAAAGTTCATATCGGTAAAAATACCTTGAAAATTGCAGGATCTTTTCAAATCAGTCAAAGTTTTAAAAACAAAGTTGCTTTTACGTTTTTTTCAATTGGATTTGTATTTTCAGATTTTTTTGTTATTTATTTTTTATATAGCCCCAAATATCAAAATAAAGCGAGACCAGCAAAAAATTGTTGAACTATAATAGTTTTTGAGACCAAAAAAAAATTAACTTGCAAATCCGGGAAATCTTTAACTCGCTAAAAAAATTTCTATTTTTTCTTGTGGCAGAACTTTTTTTTTATATGATAAAACAAAAGTTCTAACCAAAATCCATAAAAATCAAAAATAGTCGATTCCAAATATTGGCCGATTTAATATGGATTGACACTCATAAGTGACTATAGTATGCACCAGTGTACAAGCGGAAGTATGATACACACTTTATGCACATACATAACTACTTAATATATGCATGAGCGTATTCCATCTAATGCAAATTTAAACATCACTCATACGCTATGGTGAGATACTGCCAAAAGCGTAATTGATATGGCACCCTCACATTGTATGGATAGTACGTATGTATGCATTTCACACACCTACAATGTATGTATGTATGCAGTGCATGCATACAAATGTACAACTGCTTTTCTTTTCCTTTCCATTAAAAAATAAAAAACTACATATTTTTAGAGATATTTTCATAAAAAATGAGGTAGTTGGCAACCAAGTGCCGACCATCTTGATAGATATTTGTGTAGAGAATATCATTTCCTTTTCGCCCCTTGTAGAGGCGTCATTTGTCATAAGTATTTTTTGTATTCCTTGAATTGATGATCTTTCGTTCTGTAACCTGTGTTATCTACATATATGTGCCATAAAAGTGTGAAACCTCAAACAAAAAATTCGATGCAGTTGCATCTTGCCGAGCATGCGTCTTGGCATTCGACCCATCATTGGCTACAACGGAATAAACATCACCGTTTAGTTTTCCCCCGTCTGCTCATCATTATCATCGTCACTATGTTGTTGCAATGGCATTTGTTGTTGATTACTTGTAAGTGACGCTAGCGGCGTTAATGCTGTTAGTGTCGTGGCTAGCATGCTTTCCCTCGTATTTTGTTTTTGAACCTCGTATTCACTTTTGATGTCTACGTAGATTTTACTTTGCATTTGGTGTTCCTCCTTAAAATTTAAAAACGTAAATAATTAGTAGTAAAATATGTACAAACAAAAGAACACATCATCCACCATACCATTATTTCGTCAATCCTTCGAGTGGAATTAGGCATCTCGTACTTATTACTCGCGTCCCTTAGCTCAATTGCTGCATTCAGTTGTTCATCCAGCGTTCTACCTAATTGGTCCAATGAGCTTGAAAGCACATGCTCGATTTCTGTACGTAAATCACTCAATTTGAATAAAAGCGAAATAATAATAGCAAAAACCTATTTAGTACCTGTGCTCTTTAAACGCTTTTTGGGTAGCCTTAATTCTTGACCAGATATCGGTTCGCTACTACGCTTATTTCCAGCTACGTCTGCAGCAATGCCAACGACTGTGGCGTGTGTGGTAGGCGGAGGCGCAGGTGACGAGCAGCTTGCTAGTTGACTTTCCAGTGTTTGGCAATAGTTACAATACTCTTCCTTCATACCCGCACATAAGCAGCTGTCGCGAAGTGGTGCTGCTCCAGCCGACTCAGCTTGCAAATCAAATTGCGTTCCACCCTCACAGTCATCTGTTTCTTTCGAATGTGATGGTGTATTGCTTTGCAAGTGCTTAACTACAGTTACGTTGACTACATCTGCACCTTTCGATATGGATGTTTTGACGGAAGAAGCTTCGGGCGGCACCAGCGCAAGCGGTGGAGTTTTCGCCGACCTTCCGAAATGAAAGGCTGCCGCACGTATCGATGAGTATAGTGTTGGAGGAGTGGTGGTGTTATAATGATGCATTGCTGCCGCAGATGTTGTTGGACCGAATTCTGGAGACATATGTTCACTGCCATAACTCTCTGTGGACGAGTCGCCATCATCCTCTCCGTCTTCTGCCATTGGCGATTTTTGTAAGTTTTGTATAAGGCATAGAACCGCTTTTTCCAGTTGTTGGGGATTCTTCGAGGCTGGCTCATCCACGGAGGATTGTGGAATTTTCGTATTTACAATCATAGAAAATTTATTTTTCATCTCTTGAATTCGCTGTTTGCCCTCCTCTTCGCTGAGCAGTGTATTTATGCAAATGAAAGAATGCACCTTTTTTGTTTCTTTGTGGACTTCCAGGTAGCCTTTTGAGCGCAGATAAATAAAGTGACCGTTGCGGGTTATAAGTCTGTAGGTGGACTCTCCAGATGAACTATAGCAATCGTACACTGCAATACGCACCCACACAGAAGAATATGTATGAATGAATTGGCATATGCTTTTTAAAAAACAATATACACATGTGTACAGTAACTCACATAATTGATCACACGGTGATTTTATACAATAATTACCATGTTTCTCATAATAAATTGGTTTCGATATCTTTTCGTAAAAAACTATTTTATACCATAAAAATCAAAATTTCCAACTTTGTATACAATTTAGGCAAATAAAAAAAATTTCATCTAAATTTCCAGTTTTGCCAGTTTGAAGAATCTTGGTAGCGCCATTGATTTTTGGTGTTTTTTTTTATTTTTGTCCTTGTAACTTCTTTATATAATGCATAGGTTTTATAAGAATTCTTGTTGGTCTAATAAATTCGTTTCCAAAGACTGGAATCTTATGTACTTTGCTGCATTGCGTATAAGGTCATATCGATGATACTTTGTGGAATAACTGTGTGGCTTCAGATCTGAATAATTGGCGGACACCTACTTTTCGTCAATTTTAAAGCCGCTTTTGATAGCGCGAAGAGAAGTTGCCTGCCTCATATACCCGTAGTTGTGTATGTAACGCATACGCCCCGTAGCACCATACGCAGTCTCTAACACAGTGCTGTCCAACCGGTAGCTCGCGACCTGTATTTTAGGCGCCCCAAACACAAATATGTATGGGCAGAAGAATACTCTGTATCGAACTACCGGAAATAGCCGGTTGTAAATACGAAAGTGTAACTTGAAAATGAATGCTTCAGCGTGAGATTTGCTCTTATGCGTGATATGAAAAAAAAATTCAGAACCAAAAGTAAAAAAAACACATCACCGCTAAGTCCTAGCTACTTCAAACTTACACTTTATCATATGTACTACAATCAAATGGGCTATAAAACTGCACACCGGAAAGAGGCCGAAACATTATGGTAAAAAAGTTGGAAATTTAGATGACATTTTTTTGAATTTGCCTAAATTGATATAAAAAAGATTTTTATAAAAAAATAACGAAAACAATGTTACTGTTTTCATAGCTCGTATTTGGGTATGCGATGTACTTACTTTGGCGCAGAGCTACAATAACCCATCGCACATCATCCTGGTGCATAAAGGTGAACGGACTCAAGCCTCGTACTTCGTCTGTCATGTAACCGGCTACAAGTCCAATTCTTTGGTCGCAGTCAATAATACTGCCATCAATTAAATGTCTCGTTTTGTACTCCATTGAGTTGGCTGCCGTGACGCAGTTTATTACTTTGGGTAGACGAATTATACGCGCCGTTGCAATTAACACCTAAAGGAAAATTAGGGCAGGGTTATTCCATATATCTAAGGGTAACAGCGATGTTCACAATTATAGTTACAAATTTAGTTATGTAGTATAAACAAATTACATACATATGTCTATGTATATACAGTAAATATGTAGAAACTATGTAAATATCTGTTAATTTTTGAAAATATGATGACACCGTGTAAAAGCTATTTAGGGACGTAATGATCCCAACTAGGATGGAAAGTATTAGGCCCGTACAGTATAGCCAAAAAATATTTTTCCACTTATTTCTATCATTATAAAACTTCTCATAAAAAATAAAATATCATTAGGAGTCAAATCAGGACGCATATCGCATAAATGTTGGCGGTAGCTTCAAATATTTTTTAATGCATATTGAACGTTACTTTTCGACCCTTCCATTTTATATGTAGGTCTGAAACAAAAAATTAGCTGGGGGTGGCTAAAGAGTTAAAATACGGGGATTACGAATGAACTGAATTGACACGCCTTCTATTTCTAATCAAAAAATACCTGATCCTGCAACTGTTTTCAAGGAATTGTGCGCAACTTTCGAAATTTTATTATACATAATACTGTAGTGTGTTCAAAATGTGTTTTTTACCTTCCGGACGCAATATTTTGTTGCAATCCGTTGCAAACCCCACAAAAGATTTCCTTCCCTACATTATTAACATGTTCCCAAAAATAATTATTTGTCTTTTCTGACTATAAGCAATTTCGAGTTAACAAGCTTTTTATAGAACGTCAAGATCTCAGACGTTAGATCGTCGATTTCTTACGTAGACCAGCGCCATTAAGAAACCTCACATAATGTACAATAACAGATTGCCTGTGGAGATGTGCGGTTAAGCAGCATTTAAATAAGGCGATTTTCTAAGCGATTTAACATCGATTTCAACAAAATCGCCTGTGTAGATTGTGTTTAAATTTTCTAAAAAGCGATACAATCGCTTACAACTCTTCAGGCGATGTTGAATTGCTTAGGAAATTACCTCGTGTAAATACTGCGCTCAGATATGATTTCTAGTCGATTTTTCAGCGAATCAGCATCGCGCGATGCGACGATAATCACTACCAGTGATCAATTACACAAATTCTTATGGCAGTATCAATCGCTGCATCATCATTAACACCGCCATATGAATTTGTATAGTTGACCGCTTGTAGCGATTTTAATAGCATCGCGCGACGCGATTCCGCTAGGTCATGTACCTAGCCTTACTATGAGACTAGCACTTTCATGCCTATTTGATATCCTTTCGCCTCAGACAATAAAAATAATAAAATATTAATTTAGAGGGTTTTCTTAACTGAGATAACATATGTATGTATTAACTTACAATATCATTTCCACTTATCGAGTGCAACGGTATCGTATCATCGCGAGCACGACAACGTCGTATCATTGGTAGATTGGAGGGAAATGTGCTGACTTTAACGCCTCGCGGCGCCGCATCACTGCGTCTGAAATTTCCTTCTATCTTGACAATTTCATATGTAGTTGGTTCTGAACGGGGACCGGCCCGGGCCAATCTGTAAACGACGTACTACCATTTTAAATACATATGTGTATGTGGATAATTTCATTATCAATTAACCTAAGAGTGAAACTTCGCTTGTCCGCACGCAAACGTTTATCGATGTACTCCTCCTCCTCTTTGGTGCGAGGTCGGGCATCACCAGACTCATCATCGGGCTGTGTATCAAAAAGCTCATTGGCATTGGAAGGTATTAATTGTTGTTTCATTATGCTGTGATCTTCAGGATGCGTAATATTTAAAATATTTTGCCCGTATAAATCAGTCTGGAAAATAATAAGAAAACGTGTACATATGTAAGTATGTGTGAGCATACAAATTTAAATAATAAATATTAATACTTATTTACTAGTAAATTAGAAGACCAAAAACAATTTTTAACGAAAATGATTTTTTGTTGCTTAAATCGATTCCTAATGCTGACTAGGGGCAACCGATGAAGCAACGTGTTGAGGCAATCTGTTTCTCTTGTTCAATACACACGAGGCAACCATTGCGGCAACCTCAGTAGCGTGCGCTCCTATGAAATGGACATACGACAGTAAATTTTGTTTTCTACCAAAACACGCTTTCAGCCCAACTGTTTTCAATGAACTAAGCCAATAAACTCAATACACAACGACACACACGAGGCAACCGACACGGCAACCAACACAAAATTTCTAAATATTTTGACTTTCACGCGACGGTCGCGGCAACACGAGTTTCTATGAGCACACGAGCCAACAGTCGAAGCAACATGCGTCGTGTGTAGTCATCATAAGATATTTAGAAATATGAACACCCGCTCGACGAGAATCGACAAATTTTTTTTCTTCAAGTACCAAGCGTATACATTTTATTTTAGCCAACGTAGAAGCTACGTTTTAGTCTCATTTTGAAGAAGTCATGGTTTTCGAAAACAATTTAATCCGGCAAAGGCTTCCGCTCGAATCTTTGCTACAAAGTAACTTTTTGTGAATTTCCTAACCTCTATTGCCTTTTTAAAGAATTTTCAGTGACGGAGTTGTGTGTGGCGGCCGCTAAGACTGTTTGGTTAGAGGTGCGTACTATCACTCCGTAGGACCTGGGTTCGCCCCTCGGCAGGTATTGGCCATGAAACCTTCCATAAAAAAGCTTCACATAAAATCCATTTGCCGTTCGAAAGCGATGCAAAACTGCAGATCCCTTCATTTGTGCAACAAGATCAAGACGAACCTCACGATTGGCTCAGCCAAACGCCTAGAAAAAGTGTAATCGCCAAAATATTAAAAATATAAACAAGGACTGTAATGGTCGGCCGCAGTAAAGGAAACGTGATGATCACGTATTGTCACAAATCGCAACAAAAAGTAGTTGAACAATATCAGCTCTTCTTCTTCTTCTTTTTTGGCGCTGTAACCGCCTAAGCGA